TCCCGATCCCAACCTATGAATTAAGCAAAGTTAACTTATTTAGTTAATGCATTTTTGCAACGGAAAACAGAAAAAAATACGTCATGACTTCTCTGACAACCCAATACTAACCAGAATTTCCAGAATTTGTTTATCCTTTTCTTGCTTTTCTTTGTAAACTTAACACCTTTTTTCATAAACATATATCATTTTATTTTTCTTGAATATTAAATTAATGTAACCATAGTGTATATATTCTTTAATGACTATTCATTTTACGTTTGTCTTAGTTTATGCACCTGAGTTTCTTTGAACATGTATGTGGCCATTATTTATTTTCATTGCTTCATAGTATTCTTTGGTAGGAATATATTGAAAACAATGTTAGGATTGTTCCCTTGGACATACTAGTTCATGTCTTTTGGTACAGACATGCTGGAGGTATTTATATGTGGGGAGGTATATGCCAGAGAGTTGAATTGCTAAATCATAGGGTATGTACATGTTCACTTTTATTGAATAATGCCAAGTTGTTAATACAAAGTAGTTACATTAGTTTACACTCAAACCAGCAATGGATGAGAGTTTCTTTTTTTCACTTTCTTACCATTACTTGGTATTGTCATGTTTGCTAACCTTGGAGGTTTTCAAGTGATATCTCACTGTTATTTAAATTTATATTTTCTGATTACTAATGAGGTCAAGCATCTTTTAATATATTGATGGGCTATTTTGGTTTCCTGCTTTGAAATTCTGATCAAAAACCGTTTTTTTTTGTTGGGTAATTTTCTGTTTCTTGATTCATAGTATTTTTTAGTATAATCTAAATACTAATTCTTAGGAGTGTATGTTGATAAAAATTATCCCAGTAAGTTATTAATCTTTTTTGTACCTTTTGACTCTTTTAAGAAAACTATTACTATCATGAGGTAAAAATTACCCTCTAAAGGGTGAAAACGTTTGCCTTATTGTCTTCTGAAATCTGTAATTTTGCTTTTGTATATCGTTAAAATACCTTTTTTAAAAAGTAAATTGACTTGTTAATGTATGGTCTAATAAAAATTTTTTTAAGTATAGTCGACCAGTTCTTTCAACCTCACTTCTTTAAAAGTTGATCTTTCCTCACCATTTGCACTACCATCTCAGTTTGAAATAATATCTATATATGTGGTGGGCCTCTTTCTGGACTTCCTGTCTGATCCGTTAGTCAGTTTGTCTATCCCTGTACCAGTGTTGTACTGTTGTAATTACTGTAGCATTATAATCCTTAAAGCTGGAAGGTAAGTCCAGTTTTTGTTTTTTTTTAAAAATTTTACTTAAAGGAGCATTTGGCTGTTCTTGAACATTTGCTCCCTCATGTGAATTTTAGAATTAGCTTGTCAGGCTTAAGACAATAAAACCTTGTTACAATTTTGGTGGGGACTAAGTTGAATCTATAGTTGAGGGAGAATTATCACTTTTATTGAGAGAACCTTTGAAAACAGGTTGTAACATTTTCTGTAAAGGGCCAGATAGTAAATACTTTCTGCTTTTTCTCTGTCGTAAGTGTTCAGTACTGCCATTGTAGTGCAATTTCTTTAGAAATATGTATGTGTGTGTGTGTGTGTGTGTATACACACACACACATACATATATAGCTTTTTTACATATATATACACACATATGTAAAGCTGGCATGTAGGTAATTTTTGTACATTGATTTTTTTTTTTGTATCTAGTTTTGCTAAACTTACAGTAATTTATCTGAAGATCCTTTAGGGTTTTCTGTGTACAATTACTAGGGAAGTCATCTTTTAAAAGTATTATTTTCTAATCTTCGAGTGTGTGTGTCTTTTACTTGCCATAGTGTGCTGACCAGGACCTCCTATTTAAATAGGAAGCGATTGTGTCAGCACTCGTAGTCTTTGTTGTTTATTTTTGTTATCTTTTAAAAATTTTATTAAATTTATTGGGGTGACATTAGCTAATAAGATTATATAGGTTTCAAGAATACAATTCCATAACATATCATTTGTATATTGCACTGTGTGTTCATCCAAAGTCAAGTCTCCTTCCGTTACCATATATTTGACCCCTCTTCTATCTGCCCCCACCCTCCTTTACATCTGGCTTGTTTCTTTCTGTTTTATATCCCACATATGAGTGAAATCATATGGTATTTTTGTCATCTAAAAGGAGTGCTTTTAACATTTGATCATTCAATGTGGTTTTTGCTGTACATGTGTCTGTAGGTACCCTTTTATCAAGTCAAAGAAATATTCTTGTTTCCTAAGAATTTTTATTTTCAGTGGATGTCGAATCATTTTTTTTTTTTTAAGATTTTTATTGGGGAATTGGGGGATGGGAACAGCGCTGGGGAATTGGGGGAAGGGGAACAGACAAGTTGCTGTTGTTTTGTTCTTCAGTCTAGTTGTGGAGGACGTTGCTTCACTGGCCCAAGTTGGCACCATCATTGCGCTCTTCCCGGGCGAGGCAGATCAGTCGCCGGCTTCTGGACGGCCGCTCACTGCGGCTGCTGGCCACTCACGCTGGCTGCTGGCTACACATGGTATCCCATGGCAACCCACTGCAGCAGGGGCTGCAGTCACCGGCGACTCATGGCAACCCAGCTCCAGGTTGAGCTGTTGTTCAGCATCTTAGCTGTAGAGGGCAGTGTCACTGGCCCTCATATGTGGGATCCGAACCGGGGCCCTCTGGTATCCCAAACCAGCTCTTAACCAACGCGCCACTCGGCCGGCCCAATTGAATCATTTTGTAAATGGTAAACAGTGTTAAATTCCAATTTTAATGCCTTATTCTCTGTTGAGATGCTTGTATGATCCATCATTCTCAGCGTGAAGTGGCAGTGTGGTAACATTGCTTTTTGTTTTTTCACTAAGCTCCTCATTCCTCTGAATCATACACTTGGAAAGTGGGGTCCTTTCAAAAGCTAACCACTTATGGGAGACTCCATTATTTCTGGTTTCAATCCAGCGTGTTATCATTTGTACTATATTTTGCCGTGTATAATGCCTCCCATGTTTTTGGCCCAAACTTTCAGGGAATTGGAATTAGTACTACCCAAGTATAATGCGCATTGTTATTTTTCTTCATGAATTTGGGCAAAAAAGTGCACATTATACATGGCAAAATATGGTATTTTGTATTTTTTGGGGGAAGTAAGTCTTATAGACCTGGAACTTTTAGCCTTTGCCAGGAGCTGTGGATGCACAGGTGCTGTGGGGATGACAGTGGAGTGCAAGACTGAAGGAAATAATAGTTTAGGGTCCCCGTTGGTTATTATCTGGGTAGAGATGAGCATACATACAGAGGTCCGTGCTTGCTTATTATTTATTTACAGATAAATAAATAATGGCCACTTTAATAGGCAATGAAGACTTTGAGAAATATGATTAAGAAATTTTCCTTTCCTTGACCAAAAGAATATTAAGGAAATTGTTTCCAAGTGGGTATTCTTGTTTTACTGCTATCCCTTTGTAAAAATGATTTGTTACTAAAATGGATTGTTAAAACTTTTTACATGTTCCCTATAGTCTGAAATGTTATGACCATTCTAAATTAAAATTTTTAACTTGCCATATATTGCCTGTCTCCCATTTCAACTTTTTCTTTAACGTGTTATAACATTTCATATTTCATCATTGGAATTGGATTTCTGTTTTGCTATTTTCCAACTCCTTTCTCTCCCTTTGTTTTGAAGCCTCTGTTTTCTGAGTTTCCTTTAAGTTCAGATGCCTTGAGGTAGCTTTTGGAGCAATGACAGAGGCAAGCCAAAATCTTAGTAGGTTTATGATTCTGCTTTACAATATGCTGGTTTTATACATAATGGTTTCCCCATTTAGAGCCTTGGCAGCAGAGAGAGAAATCTGCCTCTTTAAAAATTGGATCTTGAGAAGGTTGATAACGTGCTTCTGGACTTTCCTATGGGGCAGAAGGGGATATGATACAGCCTAAAGGAGATGGGTTGGAACAGTTAGGGCAGCGTAGTATGCCTCTTTCCTGGACATTTCATCCATTGAATCCAAGATGTTGTAAGTGGTAAACAGTGTTAAATTCCAATTTTAATTTTAAATGTAGTAGGCTCAACATTAAAAAAATTTAATATGTAGTGCATTATTTACGTTATTGTTTCATGTGCCATATTTAGGTTAGTTGATTCAAGCAAATATTTGTGGGTCATAGAGGGTTAGTCTATATCCAATTTAAGCTCTTAAATGTGGTTCAGAAGGAAGGACATAGGTTTTCCTACTAATTATATTCATCTAAAACAGCAGATCTTTAACCTTGCCATTAGCTGATTGGGTTTGTACCATCTTAGCAGGTCTTGATGAGAACCATTTTCTTTAGAAAGGATATAGGTAGTGTGTTGATAAAATACTAAGTGTAAGTTTATTGAGGGTCAGAGAGTATGTGTTTTCCCTGATTGATTCCTTTGGGAACCAAGCAGTTATCTTTTGTTTGTAGGGGAGTAGAGAAGCCCTTAAAAAGTTTGTGAAATCTAAGATATTGTTTCATGACCACATAAGCAGTTACATTTTTAATTTTGCCTGATCAGAGATGCCCTTAAGTTTTAAGTATATTATAGACCTTTACTAAATTCTTAGAGCAGGGTTTTTAGCTCCTTGATATCACATTTTGAATTGGATTATTGCCAGAGAAAATCTTGGCTGGATGCAATATTGTCTTTGGGTTCAAATATCAACTGTAAATAGGAAAAGGCAGATAAAGCTACATGTAGTAGTGACTGCATATAGTGGTAAAATAATTACTGGTTAAAATTCTTGGTATTTGAGGTTTTTGTTTATAATTGCTATAATTGTAAATCTCAGACTTTAGATTGCGTTAGTGAAATTGGCTTAAGAGCTGCTAGGAAAATCTAAAACCCTAGTGGGTTGTTTCTTGAGAATTTGTATTCTAGAAAACCTTTGTTTTATCTCATGTTTCCTCCTCATCCTTGTATTTTAGCCTTACTTTTTACTATGATTTTGGGAGTTTTGCTTACCATGCCTGCTTTCTTGCAGATTTTCTATTTTGTACATACATTGTTTTGTATATACTGTATATGATGACTTCGGTGAGCAGTGACCGTTCCCGAGGTTCTCGGGAAAAAACACAGATTTCAGCGACACAGGCAACACAACTACAGAAACAAGTAGTACAGGTAAGTTTTTGTGGAACTCTTATTTGCCCTGTTTAGAATTACAGAAGTTAAGGGAGCACAAATGCCTTAACATTCTAATCCTTTGTAGGGAACCTCAGGATTTTAAGCCTTGTTTTTAAAAACTAGATATAGTATATAATAGGAAAGAGGAAATACTGATTCAGGTACAGTTGGATGCTGTTCCTTAACTGTTTAATCCTGAACTTTTCCATTACCACTTATCATCTAGGCCATCTCCTTTTCTTTATTATTAACCTAGGTGGTCCCTGGAATGTAATTTGAAAATCCAAAGAATATAGAGAAATACTACTCTGAGGTAGAGATATATTTGAATTATAATAGACTTACGAAAAGCTGCCTTTTCTTTCAAGTGTTGTTCCCTGGGAAGAGTGCTTTAATCTTAGAATGTCTTTTAATTAACAAGATATATTTGTATAAAATGTTTGATGTTAAAGACTCCCTTCTTCTTAATTTGTTTATACTATTATTTTAAACGAAGAAGTGAGACAATCCAAGTAAAATTCTAAACAAAATACCTGGTACAAAATTGAACATTCTATACAAGTTATTCATTAGATTGGCAAACCTTTTTCAGAGGCAGTATGGAAATAAGTAAATAAACCGTATGTAGTTCATTATAACTTCAGATTGATGGTTTGATTGTATTTTGATAGCTAATTACAAGTACTTTTTATAATCATTCACACCTAAGTACCCTGTTGATATTAAGGAACATAGAGAGTGGACTCTATCTACTTAATTGTTGCATTGCATTTTAAAATATGTTAGCTTTGTATTTTGCTGCTGTCAATAAACATTCATCTCTGTTATTCAATGCTTCTAACTACACTTACCCTAATAGGTATTTGTTTATAACTGTTGAAGAAAGACTTGGAAAAATTCGGACTGTTTGGACTAGGCCCCCCCTTTATAGATGAATGCTTTAAGAAAATGTTTCATGAATAGCCTCTTTATCAAAGAAATACAAGTTATGAGCAGTCATAGGTACAACCCTGCTAGTAATCAAAGAAATAAATTAAAACAAAGATATTTTATGTTTTTGTTTATCAAATCAGTAAGGATTCAAAGTGTAGTCTTCTGAAGGAGGGTTAAATGAAATGTTGGGAATGTAAACTGTTTCTGTCTCCCACTTAAGTCAAGTCCTTGGGCTGATTTCCAGAGAATCAGTCTCCAGACTGGAGGAGGCAGAGCTACCTTTCTCACAAGGGTTGTCACTAAGAGTTTTTCCAAGCGCCCCTTGGGGATGGCGTATTTTATCTAATTAGAAGAAAGAACTGCTAATCGAACTGCGGGAAGGATTCCTAGACCCTTAGATAACCAATTTTTCTTTCTGCAAAAGTGTTGTGAGAATTTCTCAAATACACTATTCTGCATTAGTAAAATTGTTCATGTTCATTTATTCATTAATCCCATTCTGGGAAGTATATCCTAAGGAAAGAACCTTAAAGGGAGCGGGGAAGGCTTTATTTTGAAAGATGATGATTGCCCAGTTCTAAACGTCCAGTGATCGAGGTGTTCTGACATAAACTATTGAGGTAGCAGGATGTAAGAGAGAAAACCATGAGCTCTTTTGAATGTGAATAAACCTGGGTTTGGGCCACTTTATCAATTAGATGAATTACTGAAGTCTCTTTGAACCTCAGTTTTTAAAAAAACGTGCTTTGAGACTTAGAAAATAATATCAAAAGTAGTATACATTCGGGGGCAGCTGGTTGGCTCAGTTGGTTGGAACGCGGTGCTTATAACACCAAGGTTGCCAGTTCGATCCCCACATGGGCCACTGAGCTGCACCCTCCACGAGATTGTAACAGCTACTTAGAGCTGATGGGTCCTGGAAAAAAAACACTGTTCCCCAATTAAAAAAAAACACACACAAAAAACCAAAAAGAGTAGTATACATTCTTAAATATCCTCCAGATGTTGACAGTGGGACCACTTTTACTTTATCCTTTGCTCCCTCCTTCTACAGAGGACAAACACCTTTTCCCCTGAACCTCTTGAGAATAAGTTGCAGGTGTGGTGCTGCTTTACCTGTGAATACTTGAGTGTGTACAGTATTTTTTAAAAAACAAGGACCATCTTTTACATAATCATAGCACAATTACCAAAAATCAAGAAATCACCATATTAATCTACAGATCATATTAATATTTTCCAGATTGTCCCAATAATGTCCTTTTTAGTTAATTAAGTCCTTGATCTTACATTGTATTTAGGCATCGATTTCCTTTAGTCATCTTTAATGTGGAGCTTCCTGTTTCATGACATTGTCATATTTGAAGAATATAGGCCAGCTATTTTGTAGACTAGCTCCTAATTTTGGTGTGTCTGATATTTTTTCATGATTAGGGTTATGCATTTTTGGTAGAAATAGCATAGAAGTGATCTGTTCTTAATGCATCATATCATGATTAACAGAGCATAGGTTTGTCCTATATACTGGTGGTCAGTTTTATCATTTGGTTCAAGTGATGTCATTTGGTTAATGTTTCTCTAGTATCGTGGAGAGATAAAAACTAGTTTTTAAAAATTTAAAATGGCGTGTTATATATTTGCAGAGGATGGTTGTAAGGAATTCGAAATTGCATAAGGTGTGACCAGGAAGTGGTAACTTTTACTATATTTCACATAAGTTGTGAGGTGACTATGATATTTGAAATCTTGATGGGAAATGCCTGATTTCTGATCAACTGAGAAAGGATACAAAATTATACTTACAGTGTAGCACAACTGTTAAGACATTGAAGAGTCTAGTAGACTATGTTAATGATGTTTATCTTTGAGTGATGGGCATAAGGATGACTTAAAAAAATAATCCTACTTCATCACATTGTCCAAATTTTCTGGGCGACTGATCCAACAAAAACATTTGGCTCCATTAGAAAAGCTATTAACACATTCTTTATTGTGAAAGTAGCTTAGCTCAGTATAAGCCAAGTGAATGGAAGAGAGACCCAGAGGAAGAGATTAGTAGTGCTTCTTTGCTTAGCAAGGTTTTTTCCAACTCCAAAGTTGTATGATAGATGTCACTAATGTTTTGTTGTAGGTGAGGGTGCACTAACTTTGTTTAACTTTGAATTACTAGTTGATTCTGATTATTCCTCTGATTTTACAAGCTGTAGAGACCTCTTGTCACTTCCTAGAACTCAGCCTGGCAACTTTTCTGTTGTACTCTGATTTATGTTTGGTGCTTTGTTTGTCTAATACTTGATTTACTTCTTTACTAGGGTAGCTAGCAAAGGTAAAACTATTTAAAGTTGTGATTTAAAATATTTTATATTTCATTAATGTGCTATACTAGTATTGCAATACTGTTCTTGTTAAACAGCTGTTAAGTGCATCAGCTGTGCTTTCAGAAGTTATATCTAGATGGTCTATACCCTTTTAGGAACAAAATAGATGATATCACTGGAGAGAAATGCAAAGGATATTTGAGTCATAGTACTTAAGATGATAAAGCTAAGTTTGAATAAATTAGTAATTGGCATTTACCTTACCTGTGATAACTTTAGAGATGTGTGGGTGAAACAGTATCAAAATGAACATGTAGAAATATGTAACAGCTCCAGACTGTTGGCCTTTAGCAAAATATTATTAATAAGTATTCTACTTAAAATCTTTAGTGAAAGTCTGTCAACTTGAGTGTTGTATTTTATAAGATATTTTAATGGAGTCAGGAGAAGCTTTCTTTGTTTCTGCTACTTGTGTACATTTAGGAAGCACAGGCAATTCTCAGGCAGTTTTCAAGTTTAAATATTGCTGCTTGTAAAGCTATTTGTGGCTGTTTACCCCTCTGCTTCATTAACTTTTTAAAAGAAATTTTATTGGGGAACAGTATGTTTTTCCAGGACCCATCAGCTCCAAGTCAAGTAGTTGTCTTCAATCTAGTTGTGGAGGGCGCAGCTCTTTGGCCCTTGTGGGACTTGAACTGGCAACCTTGGTGTTATGAGCCCGTGATCTAACCATCTGAGCTAACCGACTGGCCCTCCATTAACTTTTAATTGGTTCTACACCCTTTATCAGAAAGATATTACAGCCAGTTTCCCTGGCTTTGGTCTATTTTATGTTCTGTGACATTTCTGTGTGCTGTATTTTCTGTCTGAAATGTCCTGAGTCAGACACATTTTTCTAATACACATAATACAGTGTGGTTGGGTGTCCACAAGTGGTCTGCAATTCACTTGGATTTTTTTTCCTTTTATCTTTTTATTTTAACTACTGTTTAACATCTGTTTCCCCCCTTTTCCTTTGCATTTTCTTTTTGACCATTCCCAGGGCTTCTTCTGATCTGTTGAATATTTTTCCACTAACATTTTATTATGAATATGTTCAAATACAAAGAAAAGTTGATAGAGTTGTACATGAGCACCATACACTCAGTTATTTTTTTTTTTACTATATTTGCTGTATCTCATCTGACTAGCTATCCATCATTCTATCTTATTTTTTGATGCATTTCAAAGTAAATTAAAGACATCAGTCTACCCCTAAACACATTAGCATACATACCATCAATGAGTTTAATATTTGTTTAGGTCTCCCTGTTTTCAAAGGTGAAATTTACACGATACATTTTATTTTTATTTTTTTAAAAATTATTTTTAAAGATTTTATTGGGGAATTGGGTGAGGGAACAGTGTTGGGGAATCGGGGAAGGGGAACAGACAAGTTGCTGTCCTTTTGTTCTTCAGTCTAGTTGTGGAGGATGTCGCTTCTTTACTGGCCCATGTTGGTATTGTGATCATTGCGCTCTTCCCGGGTGAGGTAGATTGGTCGCTGGCCATTGGATGGCCGCTCACGGCAGCTCATGGCAGCCCACTGCAGCCTATACCGTCGTCGGCAACTCACAGCAGCCCAGCTCCAGGTTGAGCTGTTGTTCACCATCTTAGCTGTAGAGGGTGCAGCGTCACTGGCCCTCATGTGGGATCTGAACTGGCGGCCCTGCTGCTCAGCTCGTGCTCCCAAGCCAACTCTTGACC